CCGGGTGCTCTCTGCCAGAGGCTCCAGGTAGGACCATTCTTCCCAGCTGCAGTGTAGAGAATGTTTTTAATATCTTGTCCTGCCCAGACTGGCCCGAGGGCCACTGCATGCACAATATCCTGTTTAATTTGTTCAAAGACTTGCTGCTGCTCAGGGCCCCTTTTAAACCGTTCTTCCAGGTCCCTTGGTAGAGAGGACTCACAGTCAGACTGTAGTCTGGGATGTGCATTCCCACAATGCTCATCCAGAAACCCGCAGCACCCAAGGAAGCCTGTGTTTCCTTGGTGCAGGTTGGTGGGGATATGGCTGATGTCTTACTGATTACACCCACTGGGATTTGGCAACTCCCATCTTGCCATTTTATTCCCAAAACCTGGATCTCTCATGCAGGCCCCTTAGCCTTACTTTGGTTTATGGCAAAAGCAGCATTCAGGAGGGTTTCAATTATTTTCTTCCCTTTCTCAAAGACTTCTTCTGCCGTGACACCCCACACAATGGTGTTGTCACTGTACTGCAGGTATTCTGGAGCTCCACCCTTCTCCAGTGCAGTCTGGACCAGCCCATGGCAATGCTGGGGCTGTGTTGCCACCCCTGGGGCAGTCAATTCCAGGGGTACTGGATGCCCCTCCAGGTGAAAGCAAACTGTGGCCTGCACTCTGCTGCTATAGGGTTGGAGAAAAACCACTGAGATTGAGGTCCCCTCGAGAGGGTGAGACATAAGATCAGCTCTTCTGTTCTGTCTGGAGAGTTTTCCACTAGACACTGGAGAGACATTTTCCTTGGATGGTTCGCCTTTCACGTACTCATGCAGTGAGGGTTGAGGTGGGTTTTCCATCCCACCTCCTCATGTCCTCTCTGTGGTCACCTAAGCAGAACCACAGGGTGCCACATGGGGTGTGCTTTCTGTATTCTCTCTCTTGGGCAGGGGAACATCTGCTTCCAATAGCTGAGACATGGGCCCATACAGGTGGAGAGTAGGAGAGGTGGTCTTCAATTTTTTGGACCTTCCAGGTCAGTTCCTTCACAGATGAAATGCAGGCCTGTAGGGAAGAGGAGAGGCTTCCTTCACACTGCCAGAGCTGGCCAGCCAGTTCATCCACCGTTTGTCCATGGCCATTCCTCCAGGACACCACCACCAAGGAGTTGGCATATGATGGTGGTGCACCTCACAGGAACTTCTGCCACATGGGTGTGGTGCATAGGACTTCCTCTGGATCTGTGGGCGACTGCTCATCATTCTGGTCATCATAAACCAATTCCAGCACTGCCAGTTCTCTCAGGTACTGGATACCTCTCTCCGTGATGGTTCACTTAACCAGTTGACATGTGACATCTACCTTGAAGGGGCACCTTTCCTCTCCACCCAACAGCAGTTGCCTCAAAAGGCTGAGGGTTTGTATCTGTTTCCCAGCTGCCTTGTCGATGTCCCCTTCTCTGGTCAGGGGTCCCAGCTGCTTGGCCTCCTTCCCCTCGAGTTCCATGCTGCCAGCCCCACTGGTCCAGCATTGGAGCAGCCAGGTGAGAAGCTGCTCACCAGGCAGAGGGCTGAAATCCTTTTGTGTGTCTCACAGCTCCCTCAGGGACAGGGATGGGGTGACCACCTCTGGCTCTGCCTCCTGTTCTCACAGTGGCCCCGGTTCATCATCACCCTCACTACATGGACTGATTTCTTTGTGTATTTCTTCTTTGGGACTG